ATCACACCACTGTTTCATGTGAGATGACCTCATTAATATTTTTATTTTTGTAGAAAAAATGTGGGTAATGAAACCATTCGTTGGGCGAATGACGTCCAATTTTGGATGGCAATGTTGAAGTAAGTATAGAAAATTCCAGGCTACCTTATTTGTATTGACCTTTTTTTTCCCCTTTAACTTATTGCTTTTCCTTTTATTTTCCCTATAGAATGATCAACGCCTCAGCATTTCTTGTTGAAACATAATAAATTTATTTCAATAAAATATCATGTGTCGCCTCTAATATTTCTAAGGGAAACCTAATAGTATAAGCCATACAAAATCTGACAAAAAAATTCATTTATTTCAAATCAACTAACACACCCCTTCCATTTACAAAAAAAAATATTACTGAAGTTCTAGTCGTGCTTTCTTTTTAACAGCTGTCTAATCAACTAACACACCCCTTCCATTTACAAAAAAAAAATATATTACTGAAGTTCTAGTCGTGTTTTCTTTTTTAACAACTGTCTATGTTTGATACAAAATAATATTCGCCAGTCCTTGCATGTATATTTCAAAAGTTCAAGTCCGTTCACTTTTGGTTTGATGTCTTGTAAGCTTTTCATAAAGTTTTCAGCGATCGTCGCTTCACAAACTCTCTCTAATGCTTCGTCAAAGTACATACAAATTCTCTCATCCGATTCCATCATCACACAATCGTGTTGGCGTTGGCTACAATGTTGAATTTCACAACCGTAACAATTCTCAACAACAAGGTTAGATATGATATAGACAATTTCATCAACGTAACACTTGAGCAAATTTTTCTTCCATGAGACTTTGACGATGACTGTAATACATCTCTTCATCACCAATGTCATATGGTGTAAGTAATTTTGGCAAAGTTTTTCTTGAAGACATTTTAAAACACACCCTGTCTGTCCAACAATCAAAGGAACACTGATAAACTCTATAGGTTCGAATGAGTGTTTACATATCTCAACTTCGTAATTAACATACCCTGATTTACAGGTTGTCCAGGTTTTTAAAAATAACCTGAATTACAGATTGAAGAGTACGTGTCGAGTGAGTCCCTCTTCTCGGGTACCCATTCAAAAAAATTGCACGATTCATCTTTTCCCATTGAACAGGAGTAAAACAGACGACCATGGTTAGGTCCGTCCTTTTTAACTTTTCGCACAAAACATTGGATACCATGATAACAATTAGGTTTCAAAACATCACCCCATTGCCAGAATGAACAACGACTTCCCTTCACCGAACAAATAAAAAATGGTCGACCAAAGTTAGGTTTTAAAATATCTTTCACGACGTTCATTTTACACAACCTCTTATGCTCATGACATTGCGGCTGAGGACATTTTGAAATTTTCCACAGATTTATAGCATTTTGAAACTAGCTACAATCACTCTGTGGGCAAAAGAAATTACAACTTGGACTTTGACCACAGTAAAAAAAAAGTCCATTGGACGTTTGTGAACAAGACGCGGGCTCTCCGTGTAAACATTCCATGGTTTTGAAGTTCTGATCAGTGTAAAGTAAAATTCAATGAATGCTCTTTTATATCTTCAAATTGAAAACCGGTTAGACATATACGTTTCAGGTTCAGAATATGGTATTGGAACAGGTTGAAAAAACCGTTACGATTTTCTCTCACGCAAAAAGAACTAATTACTCGGTCGTTGCTTCACAAGGGGAAATTGTATTAGGTACAAATGATAGTACAGGACGCACTAATATAATTAATGTCCTCAAAGTGATTTAAACAAGGGGGAAATAATAAACACCTACACAGGGGAAATGTTACATTAATCCCTAGTTGTTAATAAAAAACTCATTAGCATGTTATTATCTAATCCCTTCAACTGTAAGCTATCGTTTTGAATATCAGTCTTGTTCAAGAATTTCGTCCTGCCTAAAACCGCACATATTGTTAGAATGAATATATTCATTCTATATCCTCAAGATATTACTTACTATAACCGCTACATGCCCGAGATGAACAGATTGAAGCGCTACCGGATGAGAAGCAAAGAGAAGGAAGAAGAGAGAAACCCGGAGCTTGAGAGGCTCGGCGAGTTCTACCAGTATGTCTTTGAGAGACATGCTGAAATACAGATAGAATTCAACAATCAGCAGCTACCTGAAATGGATGAAGAAGATCTGATCCGTGACATTTGAAAAGAAATGTTATAGAAGTCAAAAACAGAATTCAAAAACGGTTCTTTTAAGAACCATCAAATTCAAGGAAAGAATACGAGCGAAAATCTTGCATAATGTGTGTATATGTGCTGGTGTGCGTGTACGTGTGTGTGCCTATGATTTTGTTTTGCTTGTTATCTTGATTTTAGCAGAATGTTTTTACATTTGTCTCTCCAATCATAACCCATACGCTTCTACTTCAAGTTTAAAACAATGCTGATCGTTGATCTTTTAAAAATTGCAATATGTTGTATGTTTCTCTTTGAAAAGCCCTTCACACATCCAGAGCTTTAGGGACTAAAAAAGTCCCGCAAGGGACAAGCAGTCCCGCAATATGTTGTATGTTTCTCTTTGTATGCTCCTTTCTTCTATTAACCTTCAAAACGACGCTCATTAGTATGCAAGCACATGTAGGCAAAGCATACTAAAAAGGGTCTTTCTAAAGTCAAAAGTATAGATGTTGTTGAACAGAACAAACATGGAATTAAAGCTTGGTATGTGCTCTTATTTTTTTCTTCTTTTTCTTACAAATTAACCCATTCTTATTTCTATGGTTGTTAACCTAAGTCCCTATGAATGAACGTTTCTTGGTTTTTTCTTTGCAGAAACATGCGATGAATGCAAATTCTTTAAAACAAAATTGAAATGTGGGTGCAAGGCCCACATTTCAGAATTTCCTATTCTACTGGGCATAACATTTAAATGTCCATACTGTGGGTATGTAAAATCTATGTCTATATCTTTATAAATCTTATCGTTATTGTTATTTGCATCACTGATTCTTTATGATCTTACTATTATTATCTCTGCAGAACGCCAGCTGATGAAAAAGCTCTGAAATGGTGCAATGATGCACAATTTGGGTTGGGGATGTTGGAGTAAGTAGAACAATTTCAACTACCTTTCATTTGTATATTAAGGTGGCTCGATACAATTTTTCGAAATTTTTAGATGCACATTTTAAACAGGGATATTAAGCACCTAAATATTTCACTATAAGGCTAAAAGTTAATATACTTTGCAGGAGACATATCTAGAGCGGAAATATTCTCAGAATTTTTGCCTGGCACCCGTTACCATGGCAACAGAGACGTTTCAAAATGGCCGCCAAACAGGGTTTAATCGTGTTTATATCGCAAACGAGTTCGGTGACCCCCAATTTTTTTTTCATTAAACGTTTACGCCATAAATGCTTTATCTATAAAAAAGTTTTAAAAAAATTCTAACATGGGGAATTTTTTCTATTTACAAAAACATCATTTTTGCTTATTAAAAAATTCCCCCATGTTGGAATTTTTTTAAAACTTTTTCATAGATAAATAATCTATAGTGTAAACGTTTAATGCAAAAAAAAGTGGGGGTCACCGAACTCGTTTGTGATATAAACACGATAAAACCTTGTTTGGCGGCCATTTGAAACGTCTCTGTTTCCATGGTAACGGGTGCCAGGCAAAAGTTCTGAGAATATTCCCGCTCTATATATGTTTCCTGCAAAGTATATTAACTTTTAGCCTTATAGTGAAATATTTAGGTGCTTAATATCCCTGTTTAAAATGAGCCCAAAAAAAATTCGAGAAACTGTATCGAGCCACCTTAACCACACGTTCAATATTCTTGCAATTGTTAAATGGTACAATACTACAAAATTTTGGATGGGCATGTTGGAGTAATTATAAATTAAGCAGAAAAATTTAGATCACCTTTTATATGCATATTAACCACACGTTCAATATTCTTTTCGTTTCCCTTTATACTTATAGTACCTTTCTCTTTTTTTCCCTGTAGTGTGATCAGTGCTTCAGCATATTTAGTAGAAAAAATTAAAAAAAGAATTTATTACTAAAATATCGTGTATCGTCTTTATGATTTCTAAGGGGAAAACGTAATATTAAACAACCCAAAATCTTACAAAATCCATTTTATTTCAAATCAACTATCAAACAATTACCCATACAAAAATAATACTGAAGTTCTAAAAATATTACTGAAGTTCTAGTCATGTTTTCTTCTATAACAACTGCCTATTTTTGACACAAAATAATTGTGTTTTAATTATTGTATGGTAACCACACGTTCAATATGCGCTACGGTGCGCGCTACACCTACGCGTAATTATCAACTGTCGGCGTTTTCGTGTTGCGCTATACCATTTATGCTACACCTATGCGCAGTTATCAACAGTTAGAGTGTCGCTAATATGTTTTGATGATCGCCTCGAAACACATGAACACACAAAGAATTTCATCCTGCCTGTTAGAATGAATATATTCATTCTATATTTCATTCTATATCCTCAAGATATTACTCACTATAACCGCTACATGCCCGAGATGAACAGATTGAAGCGCTACCGGATGAGAAGCAAAGAGAAGGAAGAAGAGAGAAACCCGGAGCTTGAGAGGCTCGGCGAGTTCTACCAGTATGTCTTTGAGAGACATGCTGAAATACTGATAGAATTCAACAATCAGCAGCTACCTGAAATGGATGAAGAAGATCTGATCCGTGACATTTGAAAAGAAATGTTATAGAAGTCAAAAACAGAATTCAAAAACGGTTCTTTTAAGAACCATCAAATTCAAGGAAAGAATACGAGCGAAAATCTTGCATAATGTGTGTATATGTGCTGGTGCGCGTGTACGTGTGTGTGCCTATGATTTTGTTTTGCTTGTTATCTTGATTTTAGCAGAATGTTTTTACATTTGTCTCTCCAATCATAACCCATACGCTTCTACTTCAAGTTTAAAACAATGCTGATCGTTGATCTTTTAAAAATTGCAATATGTTTTATGTTTCTCTTTGAAAAGCCCTTCACACATCCAGAGCTTTAGGGACTAAAAAAGTCCCGCAAGGGACAAGCAGTCCCGCAATATGTTGTATGTTTCTCTTTGTATGCTCCTTTCTTCTATTAACCTTCAAAACGACGCTCATTAGTATGCAAGCACATGTAGGCAAAGCATACTAAAAAGGGTCTTTCTAAAGTCAAAAGTATAGATGTTGTTGAACAGAACAAACATGGAATTAAAGCTTGGTATGTGCTCTTATTTTTTTCTTCTTTTTTTTTACAAATTAACCCAGTCTTATTTCTATGGTTGTTAACCTAAGTCCCTATGAATGAACGTTTCTTGGTTTTTTCTTTGCAGAAACATGCAATGAATGCAAATTCTTTAAAACAAAATTGAAATGTGGGTGCAAAGCCCACATTTCAGAATTGCCTATTTTACTGGGCATAACATTTAAATGTCCATACTGTGGGTATGTAAAATCTATGTCCATATCTGTATAAATCTTATCGTTATTGTTATTTGCATCAATGATTCTTTATGATCTTACTATTATTATCTCTGCAGAACGCCAGCTGATGAAAAAGCTCTGAAATGGTGCAATGATGCACAATTTTGGTTGGGGATGTTGGAGTAAGTAGAACAATTTCAACTACCTTTCATTTGTATATTAACCACACGTTCAATATTCTTGCAATTGTTAAATGGTACAATACTACAAAATTTTGGATGGGCATGTTGGAGTAATTATAAATTAAGCAGAAAAATTTAGATCACCTTTTATATGCATATTAACCACACGTTCAATATTCTTTTCGTTTCCCTTTATACTTATAGTACCTTTCTCTTTTTTTCCCTGTAGTGTGATCAGTGCTTCAGCATATTTAGTAGAAAAAATTAAAAAAAGAATTTATTACTAAAATATCGTGTATCGTCTCTATGATTTCTAAGAGGAAAACGTAATATTAAACAACCCAAAATCTTACAAAATCCATTTTATTTCAAATCAACTATCAAACAATTACCCATACAAAAATATTAATGAAGTTCTAAAAATATTACTGAAGTTCTAGTTGCGTTTTCTTCTTTAACAACTGCCTTTTTTTGACACAAAATAATTGTGTTTTAATTATTGTATATTAACCACACGTTGAATATGCGCTACGGTGCGCGCTACACCTACGCGTAATTATCAACTGTCGGCGTTTTCGTGTTGCGCTACCACTTATGCTACACCTATGCGCAGTTATTAACAGTCGGAATGTCGCTAATATGTTTTGGTGATCGCCTCGGAACACATGCGCACACATAGAATTTTGTCCTGCCTAAAACCGCACGATCAACGAAGTTTTGAATCATTTCAAATGAATCCAGCTATTTCATTAGATGAGCCGAGGGATGATTCCTCTTCGTCCATAGAAATTTACACACCCTTGTTTCTTTCTTCTATTAACCTTCAAAACGACGCTCATCAGCATGCAAACACATGTGGGCAAAGCAGACAAAAGGGGGGTCTTTCTAAAGTCAAAAGTATAGAAGTATATTGTTGTTGGACAGAACAGACATGGAATCAAAGTTTGGTATGTACTCTTATTTTTTTCTTTTTCTTTTTACGAATTAACCTAGTTTTATTTTTATGATTGTTAACCTAAGCCCCTATAAATGAACGTTTCTTGTTTGTTTTTTCTTTGCAGAAACGTGCAACGGCTGTAAAACGTTCACAGTAAAAATGAAATGTGGATGTAAGGTCGACCTTTAAGAGTTAACCATTTTATTGGACATTCCTTTTGTATGTTCAATTTGTCTGTATGTAAAAAAATACTCATTTGTTGATAACTGTAGATCATCTCTTTGTTACCAAAGTCACTTGGTATATACATAATATATACAAATTAATGTTTCATTTTTATTATTCACATCAATGATTCTTCATGATCTTACAATTATTATCTCTGCAGAACGCCTGCTGATAATGAAACATTAAATTGGTGCAATGATGCACAATTTTGGATAGAAATGATGGAGTAAGTAGAAAAAAAATTAAACCACCTTTTATTTGTTTATTAATCATACGCTCAAAATTCTTTTCCTTTTCGTTTCCTCTTTGTACTTATAATACCTTTCTTTTTTATCCCCTGTAGTGCTGTAGTGCTGGTCAGTGCTTCAGCATTTTTAGTTGGAAAAAAATTAGAGTAAATTATTTTTTAATAAAATATCGTGTGTCGTTTAGGAAAAGAGAGAAGGAAGAAACGCTGAGCTGGAGAGGCTCCGCGACTTCTACCAGTATATCTTTGAGAGACATGTTGAAATACTTGTAGAATTCAACAATCAGCATCTACCTGAAATTGATGAAGAAGATCTGATCCGTGACATTTTAAAAGAAATGTCATAGAAGTCAAAAACAGAATTTAAAAACGCTTCTTTTAAGAACCATCAAATTCAAGAAAAGAATATGAGCGAAAATCTTGCATAATGTGTGTATATGTGCTGGTGCGCGTGTACGTGTGTGTGCCTATGATTTTGTTTTGCTTGTTATCATGATTTTAGCAGAATGTTTTTACATTTGTCTCTCCAATCATCATAACCCATACGCTTCTACTTCAACTTTACAACAATGCTGATCGTTGATCTTTTAAAAATGGCAATATGTTGTATGTTTCTTTTTGAAAAGCCCTTTTGAGCGCTTTTGGACAAATAATAAGATGATCACCTAAGAATAATTAGCATGATCATTTTTAAATAATTTTGCCTCATTAAAAAATGATATGTCTCATTATTATGCGCATAAAAGGGATGTATTAAGCCCATGATATTACCACTAACTCGTGTAAACCAATGTACATGCAAATCAAGTATGAATGTCAGAAGCACTTTTCTAAAACAGTATAACAATTAACTCAAGTAAAAGAAAACAAAACAATCTAGTCTTATTACCATCGTTCATAACTTTAGATCCCTATGGGGATTTTTTGCACAAACGTGTGATCAGTGACAAATGTTCTCCGTTACATTAAAATGTTGGTGCGAAGCCGGCATTTCAGATTTGCCAATCTTACTGGGAATCAACTTTGTTTACCTCATTTTTGTTTGGTGTGTAGCGTAAATTGATGTTTATAATCGTTATATTATATATTTCGATGATTCTTCATGTAAGATAAACTTAGGATTACTCTTATCCCTGCAGAAAACACGTTGATTACGAAACATTAATGTGTGCTAATGACGCCCAATTTTTGCTCGCCATTATAGAGTAAGTGGGAAGAAATATAAACAAACCTAATAGAAATTCAAATAGAAATACAAACAAACTTAATATGGAACTAATGTTTGCTATGTGGTTGTTAATTTTTCAAAAATTATCACTCTCGTTCGTAACCTTTTCATATTATTCTACATCCTTAGAAATGAGTATTACCTTCTTTTTTTGCATATACGTGCATGTGACCAGTGCGAAACTTTCTTGGTGAAATTAAAATGTGAGTGGAAAATCCAAGAATTTTTAAAAATCCCAATTTTTGAGGCAAACAAAATGCACACGCTTATATACCATTATGCTTTACAAGTGTAGATTCTTTCGCTCCTAATCAAGCTAACTGTTTTCTAGAGATTAAATTCAGACTCATATTCAAACATTCGTTCAATCGCATATATGCAGATTAGCAGAAAACTGAAGAAATTTATAAGCAGGTAAACTGGACAATAGATGTATAAAAAAGGGCAAGGTAAGAAAAAAAAACCTGGAGCCTCATATTCGAAATGAACCACGCACTAAATGTGGAGAAGCCACACGAACCTTATAATTGCTCAGAGTTAAGCACAAGGTCTAGAACTTCACAATTTAGCATTAAGATAGGGGAACGTTCTACAGTGTGACTTGAGGCCAGACGCCGAGAGACAGAGGAAGCACTTTCTGGGATTGCCTGAATCACAAGTTAAACAATGTGTGTTAGGAGTGTGCTGTGACAATTCCAACATTCAGTTGCTCAAATGTCTTTCGTATTATCAATCGCCATTCCCTATAAGACGTCAAAATTTGGGATCTTCATCATCATTGTTTACATATTAACCAGTGTCTATAAGGATGAATACTGTTTTGGACGAACTTAACTGAACACATCTTTTTACTGCGTTATCATTTCAGACATCTTGGGTACATCATTATCATCACATTCGAAATCCAAAATATACCAACATATTTTAGCTTTACCCCAAATTACATCCAAAATCTGTCTTTATATATGTTCGTATACACAAGAATACACATTGTCGATCGGCGATGGATAATCTGAAAAGCTGGAAATTGCTGATGATGTTTTTAACATTAAGGGAGGAAGTCAATGTTGATCGGAATAAGCACTTTAGGTCGATGAAGTGTTCGATGGTGACGTTTTTCTTGCCGTGGGTTGAAAAACTTTCAGTTTATTGTTACTATATAGCCAAAGCGTTGAATCTTTCTCAACAAGTTTCTAGGGAGGATAGATCACCCGTTGATTTAGCAGAGGGTTGTGTCATTGAGTGACATATATCTTTCCGTTCAGAAATTTCTCTTGTTAAGAGTGAATGTCACTTGAACTCTAAGATTTCTTGACTATTTAATATTGTTTGATTCATCAACATATCTCCGCGACGTGGTGTCTCAGGGCCAGTCTTTTAGTTGGGTATAATCTTTTTGAGGTTTAATAAACAGATAAACTGGGTTATCATAGAATTTGATTGACGTTTTCTTCTAGTTGGCTTCCAATTCGTTTTGTTAGGTGTTTCAGAAACACCAAGCGTTCTAAATCAGTGTTTTTTAAGATGGTCGCAAAATCTTTCCACTTTACTATGAACTCTTTGCAATCCTGATGGTTTGTAGGGATATTTATTCCCTTTTCTTTATTTACTAACAGTGTAATCAGAAACTGCAATAATGCGATACGATTTCTCCAACCTTTTTCTACGACAGGATGTATAATAGTTTCTTTCATTCTCAACGTTATTATAAGAATGTTTTATAGGCCACGAAGTATTGAGCATTTCCTCCAACACAATTTAGGTTACAAACATTTGTCTTCTTAAGACAGATACTACCACAGTTCTTTGTCAAACACACACTTGTTACAGGACAAGAGAGGAAGGGACCCGAGTCAAGCAGAAGTTTCAGATATTGATACACAAACAAATATCCTGACAAATTGAATATAGGCGTGTACCAAAGGATGGACAAACAATACAATACGAATGTTAGTTACTAAAAGATAAACACACCAATTATTTGATCTTAACGAAAGCAACGCACACAACATATAGTGGAAAAGAAAGTTATGCTCCGGGAAGGTTTATTTCCTAACAGATATTCAGGGAAAGACGAAACTAGAACTAATCAGATTTTTTATTTTTTTCATGAAACTGTTTTGTTTTCAAAACACAATTTTGAAATTAAGAATCCTGCACGAAAGTATCTACAATTGTAACGCAAAATATCGGTTGCATAATTTCATGGTTATCGGATTTGTTTTCTCAAAAAGGTTATAAATATCTTTGTTTACATTGAGATGAATATTTCTGATGGATTAATCTAAATGAAAATGAATATCTGAGTCATCAAAGTCTCTAATAATTATTCGTTTATAGCTAATTTTAGCTTTCTATTAATTTGACTTTAACTTTAAGCATACCTCTGAGGCGCATAAATATAATACACATAATTTCTTTCTAAACCGAACAGGAATCACGACAAGCTTACTTTCACTTATTTGGAAGGATAAGGACTGGAATACGCTCCCTCAGGAGATGACTTTAAGAATTTCAAATTGAGACTTAAGAAATTCTTGTTTGTCTGATTTCCTTATATTGCATGTCTTTTTAATTTTCTACCTTAAACGTAGTTTAACATTCTAACTTTCACTCTATATATTTGTACATGTTTGTACTTTATTTTAATCCAGGACCCCGCTGAAAATCACTTTTTGAGTCGAGCGCCCAGAAAAAATATTGTCTTAATAATAACAATAATAATAATAAACAAGGCAGGTTTCACTATAAATAAACTAGTGGTTGTAATGTCACAATTTTGCTGCTTAACAAATATCGCATATCTGATGAAGACAACTTTAGACAAGTCTCTCATTTCTGATGGTACCATTCGTTAAAAAGTCAGTTATGCTTTAAAAAAAAATAAAATGTTCTTTCTTAGATTAATTCGAAGTTAGGAGTAATTCGCCTTTTTAAAAAAGATTTACACTTTATATATAAAACCTGAAATTGATAATCTTTTTTACCTTTATTGTGATATGAAGTCATCAATGGGGATATGGCTTAATCCCATGATGATGGGACCCTGCATGGTTGACATTAATTTCTCCGCTATTCAAAATCATGCTTTAAGACAAGTTATCACAAAATCACATCATGCAGCACGTACGATATTCCTAGCAATACCAAGCAGTGTTTTTGTTCCAAAGGATTAGGCAGGCTGCATGTGAGAGAAAAATATATGAAATTCTGAATACAAGCGATCTGCTGAGCTCACCCTGATGTCTGAGCTTAATACCAATAGTATATGTATATAATGTGAGGAATTTTGCCGGATATTAATCGTTATGTTTTGGGTTGATTAATCGTTATTTCGCAGTAATATGTATCGACAAGAGATATAAGTAATATTCCAAATAGTAAAAGTCTACCCTCGAAAAAAAAGGGTTTTGTGGTTGCTACCACACGGACATAAATTCATTTGAAAATGATTGGAACCAATTGTTCCAATCATATCGTCTCACAACACAACAGTTTAAGAAACCAATTACTTTTAGTTTCAGTTCAAACCAAAAGCTTTGCGCTGCCCTAGGTCTATCGTATGCAGTTTTTAACTATTTGAAATCGTATTCGGCTTGACTTTGGACAAGTCCCTATCATAACACAGTCAATAGCTAGTTGCATGTAAAGGTAGTTAACGTCTAGAACTATACACACTTTTTACACAGTCATGCAATTGATTCAGTATTCAAAATCGAGAATTTTGGAGTTAACTATAGATATGCGATTTGACTATATACGCAAAATATAGTTAAACGTTTTATGCAACTTCCCCCAAAGCCAAAGGTTTAACGACTTTATAACTAGATATTTGCGCCGAATGCTACTGTGAATTAAGCAGTACAATTAAAAAATGAATAAAAAACAAATTACTTAACCATGACGCTAGATTTATCATCCCAAATATCGCAGCATGTTGTTCTACGTCACGATCTGCCTCACCTAAAATTGCATATTTTTATTGTTGAATTCCAAGTTTTAACATGTCCATCAAATCGCACTTAAAAAAATTGTCCCAAGTTTATTATCCTTGATTGCATTATTATATAGCCAATATACAGAGAGTAGAATGAAAGAGATGAAAACTGCGTGAATTAGGAAAACTTTACCGATGCGCACATATTTGACACGTGCAGGGCCATAGCCAGATTAACTATCAATTTTTTAACACGTTTATATGTATATATACATTAAATAAAACTTACCCAACTCAGTGGCTTTCTTCCTTTTATTAGGCTTTCAACGTCGATGCTAATATTATCACTCTACGACATTAAGCCAATGACAGTCGCAGCACCAAAGGTACGATTTCGGTCAAATTGTCGGTCAATACGAATCCACGACCGTTTGCCACGACTACATGGCTGAGAATGCTCAAATGTTGACAACTGCGGCACAGTATAAAGATCATTCCAGTAGCCCACTCATATCGTAAACTTTTCACCCCCACGCATACCGGATTACAGGCTTTTGTCCGCCTCCATTTTGGCCAACCATTAGCAGTCAATGATATGTTAATTGTTTTTTTAATATACGTCAGTAGCGTCCTCACTTTATCCTAGACCTAGAAGATTACTTAAAAGCATATCCGGAATTAACAGAAATTAATAATTAACGACTGATTTCAACCACAAACTCATCATGCCGTTTCTTTCTCGCAGAGTTCATTCACGAATTAATTCACTTAGATTTGTTCTTAGAAAAATCTGCATAACAAGGATTTTGAAAAACCAAATTTTTTTAAAAAAACTTTTACCCAAACGCGTTGTGTTTCGTAACGTATGGAACAGAAAAGGACGAGGCGGCTTGAGCCGCGCTTGTTACCAAACCTTTTTAACTCGTCTTCTCTAGCCACGTAGTGAACCGTGAACTCTCTATTAAGCCTGTTTTCCACTAGGCGGAATTTTGCTCGCGGAGCGGAATTTTTCTTTGTTTTTCTCACATTAGTTCTGCGTGAAAGCGCGCAGACAATTATTCCGCCTAGTGGAAAACAGGCTTAAGGTGAGCTGAGCGTCATTCCTGAATGTTGGCGTAAGCAAGTCCTTCTAGTGTACGATGGCGTTTTGGGTGGAACAACATTTGCATTTCTGCTTATGCTCGTGTGAACCAGGCTTAATTAAATGTTTGACTTGAGCAATTTTATTCGTAATGACATGCATTTAACAATTATTGGATGAGGTTATTGTATTGAGTGTGATATCGCGAGTTATCAAGCTGAGGCTAACGCAAACTGAGGCTTGATAATTCTCGATATCATGCGAAAACCGATTCAATAATTGTTTTATTATGTATTTCCTTTTTAGAGAGGAAGCCTGCGCCATTATTGACAACAAACTAGAGGATGATTTTCAATGTCGCGTAGGTGGCAAGACATTGAGAATTATCTGTGGGTTTTTAGCCAATCACAGTCGAGATTGCATTAGTAATGCATAATAATAAAATTTGTTTGTGCCCACGAATGATTTTTTCAAATAATATTTACAATTTACAAATATGGATAACCATATTTAAATTTACAAAACAAGCGCCATGGCCATCGACATATCCCTCTTTTCTAGCAAATTTTAAATTTTGTATTTAGCATTTTAAAAGTCATTCAAATTGAAACAATAGGTGATTGCACTAGTTTCAACTTTTTAGGATACCCAGTGTATGTGGTATTTTCATCTGATATCTAACCTAAAATAAATATTAGATTTCTAGTATCAACCAGCGGGGATCAATCGGCTATCTTTAAAGCTAATTATTTTTGGACCAGGAACTGGTCCCCACACGCGGCTAATCTTCTTGTTGTTGTTGTTGTTGTTGTTGTTGTTGTTGTTGTTAGGGGGTGACGCTCTTTAAAAAAGCCTAAGGCTCCGTCAATTCGCATCAGATCGCAATAAAACTTCGCACAACTATTCTTAGCGATATTCCCCATCGATTGACGGAGTTATAATTTTGATTTTTTTATTTTAAAGAAATTTAGAAGCAACTCAAAATTGTAGCGTAGTAATGCGTATAGATTATATTCAATATTAGTATGCATAACTGAAGCAAGTTCGAATGGCTAAGGCTCCGTCATTTCGCACCAGATCGTGATAAAACTTCACACAACTATCTTAAAGGTTATTCTCTATCGACTTACGGAGTTAAATTGTTTGTGCTTGTATTCTGCAGAAGATTTGCAAGCCATGTCAGATTGTAGCGGGAGGCAAATTTTGATATTATTAATATTCATATCCTATGAGTTCAAGCTAGAAGGTCGTGTATTTTCGTTGTTTTGTACACAATATATATTCATGACTATAGGACCATTGCGTTAAATGCGTTTCTCTCTAGGCCATTTCTTATTTTTTATTTATTTGTTTAGGGTTTGCCCAGCATACATATACATAAAAAACGACTATAATGACAGTGGCACGGTGCACGCAACGCTAGCTTCTCGCCAGCTACAGCGGCATAGATTAGGACATAGATGTGCAACTCGGCATATTTTAAATGTCTTTGAAAAGGCAGATGAAAACTGTAGAAAAGCGATAATTTTAACATAACTGCAAGATTGCCTAGGTTCATAGATATTTGAAATTTCATCCTGGAGAGAAAGATTGAATCTATACTTCACCAGTTCCTGGTCCAATAGTACGATCGTACTTGTTCCACTAGGCATTATTTTTCGCGCAAGCGACTTTATGCCTTTGTATTTGTGTAATGTGTTCCAGGTGGAACAGGGAACTGGGAACGAGGAACCATTAATTAGAATTAACAGACCTTAGCAGTACCATTTACTCATTTTAATTCAATGGCCTCATTTCATTAAAAAATAAATTATTTCAAGGTTTGAAGCTCAACTTGCATTTTTCTTATAACCAATCTTTACCTTATATGAGGCAGTTACACCTTATATTTGGCACAACCCACTAAGCGTTTTCTGCGACAAATATTTTAATACAAAGTGATGTGGAATTTCTCTAATAAAACACACAGGGCTAGATCCAGTTATTACCTATACATATTACATACACAATACACTTGATTCATTTCATAGTTCATACTGGTCAGCTCTTATTAATGTGATCAATACTTAAATTCTTGCATAAGACAATTTTAACTAAACTGATTTATAGGACAGACAGTGACCATTATTTTAAAACCTATTCCTTTCGAATTTATTAATTGCAATCTGCTTCTATAAAATGCCATTGTCCATGGAAATCCTTTTAAAGAAGTAATGATATCAAACGCATCTTCTAATTTTTCAACCGCTAAAAAAAAATGCGAGGTGTATGTGACTTTTTCCTCGACGAATCCGACAAATCATGCATGTGTTGGATCTGGAAGAAATTGCTTCCGGATCTGTTTAATAAGAAATTCGCATCTGAAATATGTCTACGACTGTTTTACATAGCTATATTTATCTCTGTCGCACTAAAACCGTCGTCGAAAATACTGAAATATTTGTTTCCGATTAAGTTCATTTGAATGTAAAACAGGCCCCCAATGCAGTGGCGTCGCCAGCTTGATAAGTGGGGAGGATTTATTCATATATTTGTGTTTTACATTATTCATTTCTTTTCAAATTGATTGATTTAACGGTCTGTGAATATGGATATATGAATATGTCTACCCCACTTATCGATGCTGGCGACGCCACTGCCCCAATGTTCTTGAATGTGTGCTTTTGTTTTAAATGGTATGTTTGATTTCATAGCCCTCTATCTCGTGACAACAAGACAAAAACAGTGGAAAATATCACATTTTCGCTATAGTTCACTCCTCAAGGTCGTCAAGGTCGTCACAGTCATAGAGATTATAAATAACACTAGAGGAGGCGTTGGTGTCGAAAACATCAGTTGAAAAAGGGCGCACGATAAATGGGGGGCAAATTCAAGTCCCGGATGCAAAGCCAAGCGCTGGTTGGCTAGATCAATGCCTCCTTAGCACTGATCTGAAATAAGACTGGATAAGGCATCTATAGAAGGCAAAAGTGAAGCCGGAAGTGATCGGCCGCCACCCGATTCAAAGGCCCCACTTTCGTATCATTTAATATAGATTTCTATTACAGAACCGGAGTTTTTTGCGTTTTTTTACCTTTTCCACGTTTCTGCCCGGGCCAATTTTACAATCACAAACATAGAAGCATACGAGAAGAAATTTGAGCAAAAAATTTGGAATATTTTGGCCTCAAAACGCCGCGAATTGATATTTTGGTACAAAATCAACTCAAAATATAGAATTTCTGCTCTTGGACAAATATTCTCTGAAAACCTGAAGAAACGAAGCGGCTTTATTGCGAACAGCAGTGTACCGAGAGGTTAGTTTTCAAAACACTGTCTAGTATCCTCAGAGGTTACTAGTTTCTACAATAATTATTATTGATGGTTAGAGAGAACAATTCAGTTCTTTCCTATGTTTCCAATACAAAAAACCTTGCAATATGTTTGACCAGGTTGTGAATGTGGTTATATTCTGCTTGTGTGTCAAACATGAAACTTTGTGTTGGTTTAAGAATTCAAGGCTGCCCTGGTATTTTATAATTGCAATAACTTTGTAGTTGGTGCATCCAAAGTAGAACCAAGAGCAATCACAGCTAATAGAATATCATGTATATTCTTTGGAGACCACATAAAACTATAATACAACTCACAAACTATGTTGAGGTAGATTTATGCAAAAAATTGTTCCTTTGTCATCACATGTACATGTCTATTGTATTTTCCGCAGATAAACCAATAGCAATCTTATAATTAACATATTTTTCAAGTCAAGGTTGAGAAGCTTAGCAAGATGAATGCTATTGGTAAATTTGGCTATTTTTTAAGGAACTAGGCTATATCATCTTAGATGCCTGTGGAAACATAGGAAAGAACTGAATTGTTCTCTTTAACCATCAATAATAATTAAAGTAGAAGCTAGTATCCTCAGTGTTTTGAAAACTAACCTCTCGGTACACTGCTGTTCGCAATA